ACTGGAGAAGTTTTTGGATGTGCATAGGGATTTGAGTCTTAGAAGGTCCCATTCATCTATGTTATCTTCTCCTGGTTGTAGCTTTTCCAGGATACTTGGAATAGATATTTAAATATCCATAACTTTTTACAAGAACTTGGTAAAAGGCCTAAAAAGAAGAAGAATTGAATGTATCAGTATAAATAACTTTTAAGGAAATCAGCACATACAATCCTTTGGAAAAATATGAGGCTAGATATTGTGATTCATTTATTGATCTGTTTGTTTAGCCAACAGTTTTTAGTTCCAAAACCCAGGCACTGTGTTGAGTACTTTGAGCTGCTCTTGTTGTGTGTCGTGGAATGGGAACAGACCCATAGCTGAGCCTCCTGCAGGTTTTCAGGGTCAGTTAATCACACAGGAGGAGATTGCCCTTTTCTCTGCCTCAGAACAACTGGTTGACTCCAGTCACCTCTTTTCATTGCTAGCACCACGTCTTACCACCTGGACCCTTGTCACACAAATTCTTACTGGTAAGGGCTGTGGACCTCCACACAGTGAGAAATGCTACTCTGAAAACAACAAAAAAATCTACATTTTTTTTTAAAAAAACAGATTTTGTAATAGACTTTTTCCTGTGTCCTTGAGAAATTTATAATCTGGCCTTATCTTTCTAAGATAAAAACCCCTCAAGTGTTTCTTATCTGTAAATACTAGATGAGAATAATTGGCACTATTTAAAATATGAAGTATTTTACTATGAAGAAAGGGGAAAGGTCTTCAGAGGCTTACTGATGCTTATAATTTAAAGATTAAAGCTCATAATTTCAAGTATGTATGTAACTTGAGGAACCTCTTGTGGCTCATTGGTACGAAATTACACTGTCAATGCAAAAGTGTGAGTTCAAATCCACTAGCTGCTCCATGGGAGAAAGGTGGGGAATCTCCTCCTATGAGGTTTGCTGCCCCGAAAACCTACACGAGGGTCAGTTATGGGTTGGTGTGAACTCAAAGTTACACAACAACAACATTTACATTGAGGGTGCAATTGAGGGACAGAAATTGACATAAATGAGAAGATAGAGTGTTTTTGAAACTTTATTTTTAAAAGTTATGTTTCCTGTGTCTATTGTCTGCATTTTATTTAGTAAAAGAATGTTATATTTTATCTGTTATGTTTTTCTATTCTTTTTATTCACCTATAATAGCTAGTCAGCTTGAATTGTATTTATCAATTCATAAACTCAAGCCTATATAAAATACACTAGGTACTTATTCTACTTCAGTCCTTGTTTCCTGTTTGTGTGTCCTACTAATTCTTTAAAACTGATGGCCTAGTGGTAAGAAACTGTTCTGCAATCCCAGAGGTACGAGGTTTGAATCCATCAGCTGCTCCATTGAAGAAGGATGCGCAGTCTCTTTCCCTGTAATTAACAGCCTCTGAAAACCCACTGAAGGGTCGGCTATGAGTCAATTCCTACTCAATGGTACTCAAGGACAACGACAACAACAACTCATTGCCATAGACTTGAAACTGACTCATAGTGACTTTCCAGCAGGTTTTCAGAGGCTATAAATCTATGACAAGACATTGTCCAGTGGATTCTAACCACACGCCTTTGCACTGACAATGTAAGGCCATACCACTAAGCCACCACACCTCCATAAAGGTTCGTTAAAGCATCTTGAGTTGAGTTTGCTGAATGACCTTTTAAGTCAATGAATCTCCAGATTTCATTCAAACCTTCTCCAGTGCTCTATTTGCTAAAAAGCTTATTATTCTGGCTATGAAGAGCATTTGGAGACAAATAGTTCTCCATTAACTTTGATAGTATTAGAGATTTTCCCCTTAGAATTTTGTTGTGTACACATGTTTGTGTATTTTCCAAACTGTCTCCTAAATCTCTCAAGGTGTACTTTAGATACTTTTGCATTTATATTTTCAGATTAACGATATTCACATAAAATAAATGAATTGCCTTTTATTGTCCTTTTTGGATGGAATACTTTTTGAGTTTTTGAAAGCTAACCTCTCTCATTAACTTGTTTTCTTGATTCCTTTAGCAGCAGCAACTGAAGAGCCAGAAGTGATCCCAGATCCAGCCAAGCAGACTGACCGAGTGGTGAAAATAGCAGGGATTAGTGCTGGAATCCTAGTGTTCATCCTTCTCCTCCTTGTTGTCATATTAGTTGTAAAAAAGAGGTAAGACCTGATACTGTCCTGTCCTCACTTTGCTTTTTGTGTCATTTACCAGTCAAGCTATGTCAAACTTCTCTTTCCCCCCAAGACCTTTTAAATGAAGGAAAATAGTGAGAAGCATCATTGAATTTTTAACAGTGTTGTAAATATCTAAGTCTGTTTTACATGATTCAGAAAAAAGAACTGTTTTGTTATTTGCAGTTTAGTTTTGGATACATGCATATTCCTTTTTGTCAAGTTAACTTTTCATTTGATGAAAGAATTTAAAATCTTCAAATGCCCCAAAAGACAGCATTAATTATGTTCTTGACGTGTGATTAATTAAAATGTCAAAATATAGACTTACTGATATGTGGAGTATACTCATTGGTTGCTATTGTACTCTTATTTTGCATTTTTCTAAATATTATTTTCAAATAAGATATGAGAAGCATATATATATATATATATATATATATATATATATATATGAAAGTGTATATTACATTCCCTGACTAAAACATTTATAATTTTAAAATAGTTCTTTTTATTTTAATTGAGCAGTAGTCTTTTATACTATATCAACCAATATCGCCATCTTCTGGAATTATATGAAGGTGGTAAAACCTATTGGAATTTGAACTCTTAGAGATTAAAGTTTATTCCAACTAAAAAACCTTTCAAAGTATATATTTTTAAATCATTTGTTTTTTTTTCATTGTATAAAAGATAATAATCTGTAAGGCATTGTCTTAGAAGATAATAAAGCTCTATTTCTTCCAATCATGTGCTGCAGATCCTTTTTAAGGATTTTTTGGTTGTTACTATTTGTTTTGTTTTTAATTTTACAAAGCAAATATGGTCCTTAATGTTTTGTATATAGAAGTGATTATGATTATGTATGTGACAATTAATATTGCCTACATTGCATTAAATCATATAGTTGTTTAACTAGGTTATTATTTTATAGTAGAGATAAGACATTAGAGATAAGATTCATAGTACAATGTTTTAACAATTCCATGAGAGTTTATTTTAATGTATTGCCTCTTTACAATTATCCCCTGGAGATATATATGTTGGAGAAGACACATCTGCATTAGAAACATTAGGTATGATTATAGTGTTTTGTGTTAAATTAGCTACATACGTGCTTTTCCCCAATAGTGCTTTCTCTTTTCGCTGTTGTCTACCCCTGTGGTTGGAAAATACATCATATGCAAGGCAAGAAAATTTTAAGTAGTTTGGAAATAAAAATTTGTCAGTAAAGATAAGTAAAATCATCTATTACCTTCTGAGCTTACATGTCTCTTTAGTTTATTTTTGAAGGTTAACTAAACAATTTAAAAAGTTAATAGTTTAGACATTGCTTTACAGTTAAAGTTGTTTCAGTCACTTTTGGTTGAATATGTAAGCAACTTCTGATTATAGACTCACTAAGTTAGAATTGGATTAATTATTGGTTTTATTTATTTGATAATAATTTGAAAATATTAATTTGATATCAGTAGTCTTATTTATATATGGTCTTTTGATTAGCTAATGCAAAATATTTTGGAAGTTAAGTGAAATTTTCTGAAGTAAAATGAAACAGTCACTAATCAGGGTTGTTTTTTGGGTCTGGGTTGGTGTTTTTTTTCCATTTTGGGGGCGGGAACAGATGTTCTGGCAGCTCTCTAAAACTGCATAATGCAACTATCTTTTTTTTTTCTGGTTTACAAATTAAAGTGGATGGGGTAAAAGAGTCTATACTGAAGTGTTAATGTCCAATAATTCTTTTCTTAAGCGTGTTTTAATTGATAGTCTTTTCTTGGAAAGTATGCAGTGGGTTTTGTTTGTCCTCCTGACCAAATACCTGGTTGCTAGGAACAGTTGCAATTACGTAAGGTCCATGTTTAGATATGTTACTTTAAATAATAAAGTAAAAATTCTATCATTTTTACTCATATATAGTATGAATCACACTTGTATCTTATACAACTTAAACATGAGCACACTTAATTATTCACACCCAAAATGCATAGGTGTTATGATAAAATTCAGTATTACTTAGTCTAGTGAAATAATTTTAGAATACTATAATTTCTTTCTTGATACATACATCTATAAAAGACAGAATGTAAAAGCAAATCATTTTAGTGACTTACCTTTGTGGTAAGAAGCTACACTGCAATCCCAAAGGCATGCATTTCAAATCCCCCAGCTGCTTCACGGGAGAAACGTGGGCAGTCTCCTCCCATGTGATTAACTGCCTCTGATAACCTTTAAATGGTCAGCTATGAGTTGATTCCAACTCAGCAGCAAGCAACAACAACAATCACCTATATTTTTACAGGAAATGTTATGTTTCTTAGATAAGACGTTTTTCTCATTGAAAATAATATATGTAGACATATTTTTCATGTTGAAAAATGTTGCGTGTATCTGGTTACTTTGGAAAGGAATGGTTTGGAATTCAATTTAGTATAATTATCCAGCTAAGGACATATATATTTATATATAATCTAAGTTTTCAGGCAAAGAAAAGGGATATTGCATCTTTCAAAACACAATGTCACTTATTTTTATTTAATTGCTGTTTAATTATTTCCAACTGTATGCCATTTATTCATTGGTTATGTATTACATTTTTTATGCACAGCATGAACACATTAATATTTCCAAATATCAGAATTTGAAATTATGTTTCAAAACTAGTCAATGTGTATGGTACTGTGTTCACGTGGATATACAGTTAAAATATCCTTCTGTATATATTATGTGTGGTGCATATGTATATTCATATGGCATATGTATATACCTGTGCTCCATAAGGATATAAAGACTTGTTTACAGAAAGTCAGGAGTTGATCTGCATTTATTTTCTAGTAACCTGCTAGATCTTTATGTTTATATCTAAAGGAAATGAGCCTATTTAGTGTACAAGTTCTATACACAGCTATCCCATCTATCATGACATGTAGATGGTAATGAATGGTATTATGCGTAACTGCATGTTGAAAACACACTATTCATCTATTTTTTTTCCCTTTTTTTGGCAATAAAAAATATCAGCATGTTTCCCACCCCCAAATGTATATTTTAAACTTTTCTTTTTCTATTGCATAGCTGTTTGTTTAATTGCATGGCCAAAGATATCTAACCAGTGCATGAGCCAACTGAAATGCAAACCAAAGGAACATGAGTTTTATTTTATTTTCCTTTTTAACGCACATTTTTTCTGCTTTAATGAATGTGACAAAGTCACGCTTTTCATTCACCATTGCTTCTCTTTTTCCACTGTCTGTGATTTGCTTGCCAGGAGGAGCTACTATTCTTACTCCTACTACCTGTAAGTAGAAAATGGGTGGTGTGTGAATTTACATGTGTTAAAGATGCAGTATCCCTTTTCAAAAAAATAACAATAGCAGAGAATACTTAAAATTTTGGTGACTCTTAAAAAATATATTTTTTCTCTAATCTAAAATTGTAAGGTCTATCAATTATTTGTTTTATTCATCTTTTTAAAAAGGGATATTGTATTTCTGTATGTACAGCTACTTTTAATTTTTTTCTTTTTAATTTTCCATAATTAACTTTAGTCTACATCCAAAATCATTTACTCCTGTCCAACTTAAATACTTTATCCTTCTACTGTAAAACCTTGTGTTTCATTGCTGGAGAAAGTGGTTAATTGGCAGTTATGTGGCAAGATTAAAAGTGTGATGTGCAGCATCATTCAAAATACCTTCAGAATTTAAAGTAGGTCAGGTCTGCATATGATTACATCTCTCTTCACATTTGCAGGATTCTAGGATGAGTTAAACTTCAGAAATCTGTCCTAAAAACACACAAATGCATATAATCATAATGTTGCAGCAAGTTATAAATTAAAAGATATTAATTACAGCTCAAAACAGTAGAAAAAAAGGGACAGTAATCTTATAGCACCACGAAACTTACCAATTGTTGTCATACATCTCCTTTAATTTGACGTAGTCTGGCCTCATTCTAGACTTTGATGTGGCATGTTCAGTTGGATAAGGATAGAAAGGATTGTCTTCTATTCTTGGAATCATCTTTATTATTTCACCTTAGATTCCACAGGGGTTAATCTTCCAATTATGGGGTGGTGAAACATTACAGGACAACATTCTTGGACTTTGACTATTATTTGATGCACCAACTGTCACAGTTTAAAGATGAGTTTAAGAGTATTTGGGAAATATGCACCACAGTATTATTATGTCTCTATCCACTTAAACTAGCTTTGTGGTAACATTTTCTAGCAACCTTGATGACTATAACCATTCTGCCAGAAATTTAAGTAGTATAAATGTTTGGCTTCTTAAAATCTGCTAAAACAGAAGCAGGTGTAAACTCACAGTATTTCTAGCTTATTGTGATGATTCAGGATATCCCTGTTAAATCATTTTGATGAAGCCAAAACTAATTCACTGTACAATTTCATATGATGATGTAATAAATTTCTTCTTTATAATCCACCTGCAGAACTTTATGCTCTTGGGCCACTTTCATCATGAAACTCATTTACACATCTGTCAAACTCAAGCAGTTGGAAATAAATTGCCTAACTTCCCTGAAGTGCAGATTATGTGTGCTGCTTGCTTAGGAGAGATAGAGCATTTCTTTACAGGGGATCAATAAGTATTTAATTATGAGTATATCAATAAGTTTATCATTAGTTATCACTCTTTGTAATATTAGATTGGATGGTAACATCTGTGTGTTAGACTAATAGCTGTTGTTGTTGTTTCTGTCTTATGCGCTGTTACATTACCTATAACCTATAGTGACCCTATGTAAAGCAGCTCCGAACCCTTTCCTGTCCTGAGACAGTCTCACTAATTCCCACACCCCACCAACCCTTATTATCCAAGTTACTGTATCAATCCATCTCATCTGGAGTCTTCCTCCTCTGCACTGTTCTTCCACCCTTCCAAGCAAGATGTCCTTTGCCAAAGACCAGTTTCTCATGGCCACATACCCAATGTATGTGAGACAGAGCTTCAAAATCCTAGCCTCCAAGGAGAAACTTGGTTTCACCCTCTCTAAGACAGACCTATGAATTTTCTACACTAATAGCTAGTTGTTAAAACATTATTGTAATATTTAGGGCTACTGATATTGTCAGAAGGAGAGTCAGTGGCACTGGGTGTAAAATACTTGAGTTATGAACCAGGACATCTGCAGTTCAACCAATCATTGCAGTAAAAGATGTGGCTGTCTATATCTGTAAAGATTTACAGTCATGGAAAACCTATATGGAGTTCTACTCTATATTTTCAATGTAAATAGAAATCCACTTAATGCCAGTGGCTTTTATTGGTTTGATTTTTTTATGAGGGGGGTGAGGAAAGTTGGCATTAGTCATAACTAGAAAAAAATTGTTTTTGGAGGTATGTGTTGAAAGGTTACTTGATTGTATATAGTGAAGCCAAGATGAATTAGAGATTTCATTTTATAAAAGTAGAAACAGAGTAGAACTTAAAAGGAAACCAGATGTGATCTTTGAGCTACTCTTCATTGGGATTGTCATAACTGTCAGTTCTTGATCAAAACACTTAACTCAGATGTTAATTTGTGTTTGTTTTGCAACCACCTGAATGAAAGCCTACCTCACAGGGCTGTTGTGAGGATTGAAGTGTAATAGCCGAGCTGACAATGCATGACTGACAAGTCTCAACAAAGGTTATAGTCCCTTATAACATGTCAACTAATAAGATATACGAATATGAATATGAATATGAATATGAATATGAATATGAATATGAATATGAAAGAAAAGTCCTTTATTACTAGGAAAATGTTCAACTTTCATGCATTTAAAAAACTCATCATTTCTTATTACTTGCCAAGGGTGAAATACATACGTATAATTTACTCATGCTCTAAAACTAAAGAGTCAGAGTTGCTAAAAACTGTCCATTTTCAAAACTGGAACTGTCTTTTGAATTCACATTTTAGGTGCATGTTATTTTTTTTTTTAATCCAACTCTATCTTTCAAAAATATTGAAGAATAAATTAATCTTTTCAGTTTTCCAAGAAACCAAAATTGGAAATTATTTCTTAAACTGTAGTTTTTCTGTTTAATACTTTAATTATTATTTTAATTGTTTAATTATTAAAACAAAATAATTGTGCTGTTTTGCTTGTCTTCTGTAATGAAAATAGTGAATTGTTAAGTTTTAGAGTATTTTGTATTGTTGGGGTGAAAAAAAAATGAGAACAACTAGATATAGTATAAAAGCCTGGCCTTTGAAACCAGGTCCTTCATCTCTGTTGATTAGATTAATAACCTTGGGCAAGCTTTTTAACTCCTGTGCTTCAATGACCTAATTTATATAATTAGAGCCCTTATGTGCTTTTGGGGGAGTTTTGATCTGAGTCCCAAGATGAAAAGTCCCAAGCATGTAACTAGCCTAATCCAATCATTGATCAGCTATTCACTGAGTGTCTGCTATGTGCTGGAGAATATTCTACATGATCAGAAATATATAGAAAGAGATGGTTCTTTCCTTTTTGGAACACAAAGTAGGGTATTTACAATTATGCTTAATTTTATAGGAATAAATATGACATTTTAAAAGCACTCCCCACAGAAATATAACCTAAAAAGGTTGTTTTAGGATTGATAAAATATCCTTCGGTTGAAACGGATTGCATGAAAGCCACAAATTAGAGGTAAAATAATGTTTGAGGTCAAAGAATAAACATCTTGTAAGAGGGCCCTTAGGAAAGGAGGGCTCAAATAGGAGATAAGCAAGTTAATGGAAACATTCAAATTAATAGCATCTCAAGATTTTTTTTAAAAGACTGATGCTCAAAACAGATTAGTTGCCAAAAATCACTTAACTCAGCTGGCCTCCTGCACTACGAGGCTGTACTTAGTCACTATGTTTCCATGCAGCATCTTGTCACTGGCAGCATCTTTTATGTCTGAAAACTATTAATATGTATACAATGTGTAACCCCGGTGAGATAGACTAGTCCCTTCAATGAACAGAGTAAATGTTCATAATTGGTGGTGGTGGGGCAGTGATTGTGATGCTGTAGTGATAGTGGTAGTAATGGTGGCGGTAATAGTTTCTGTTACATGTTTGTCATTGTTTCTTCTTAGTACTGTTAATACTATCATAACTATTTCTTTAAAAATTGAGAACATCCATACCCCAGAATCTGTCAGTTCCTTTTTGTGTCAATATGTGAAGCGGCTGGGTGAGACTATAATTTTCAGCAGAAACTAATGTTATACAGGAACAGCTTTCAAATTGCTTAATTTCTTTCTTAATGGAAAAAAATTTGGACATCAATGGAATCGATGAATTGAACTTTTTTTGAAAGATATTTATAGCACATTTACTTTCATGTGAGTACTGAAAATAAAGGTCCTATTTTATAATCTTAAATAAATGGTATTCTTAAAACAACTGAAGACTCTAAGGCATTCATAAATTGCTGTCATAAACTTAGAAAAATAATCTACTTAGTACAGGCTTTCAGAATGCCGTTATCCATACCACATATAAATGCCTTGTTGATGTGATTTAAGTATTTCTTATATTGTTGTTGTTGATTGCCACTGAGCTGTGCATGACTCATTGCGACCCTATGAACAAAAGATCTAAAGCCTTTTGATAACTATCATTTCTCAAAGTTCATAGAGTTTCTAGAGGCGTGTTGTTTAGAAAGTGGATGCCACTCCTGCTTTCAAATCTTATATATCCTTAATAAATTTTTCCAGTTGTGAGTTTCATGTGGAACAGTTACAAAAGAAATCAGAATTTATTTTATTTGCTCATTATGTAATATAAGATAGAGTAACTCAGAATTGTAACTATGCTACTTGCCAAATCTTATGCATCATTTGATTGGCTGCATTGTTAAGGCAGTGCTATTGTGAATAATTTGCCATGTATTTCCAAAATGTTTTTAGAATATGTCCATGTCTGCAATCCAAGGTAATGATAAATTGTCTAGTACCTTTACAAGCATTTTTAAAACAAATTTTTAAAGCTAATTTTTCATATATTTTATTAAGAAAATGGAATTATAAACAAATCAGTCAGCAAGATAACCAGGAATAGAATTTTGAAAGTTTTCCTGGGGAGCT